GCCGCTGTTGGTTTGGAACAACATGTGTTGTTGGGCATTGCAGTGCCCATTCTTTCCGTACCCATTTCGGGCGTCCAAAGCACTGGCCGTTGCGATGTGCCGTCGGGCTTCTTTCGGAGACCGGCGAGGAAGAGGTGCTTTTGTGGGTCCACCCGCCCTTGGCGCGCTCCGCGCGCCAGGGAGGGGGGGTCCAGCGCAGATCCAAGACATCCAAGATCGGAGCGCCAAAAGCTTAAAAGTTTATGTGTACGCCGTGCTTTCTCCTCGTGAGGGGTAGGGTGGCCTCTGGCTCTGAGAGATGGGTCCGAGGGGCCCATCTGGGAGGCCTCAAAACTTGATGGTGGAATCCTGAACGGTCGCCGCATGCAGTGGCAACAGGGGCGGTCGCCGTCCCCAGTGGCAACCTGAGCGGTCGCCGCTTGTGGCGGCCACCTACGTAGGCGGTCGTCGTCGCCTTGGGCCGGCGTAGAAGCTGGGGCACGTGATGTAATGTGCGCGTATCGCCTCGTAGGGTTTTCGAAGTCTGGGCAGTGAGTCTGCTCGTGGCCCCGCGTCATGCCTCGTGTTCGACAGGCCTCCGCTCCGCGCAAGTCGCAAGTCCTCCCTACTCCCTCGCGTCCCCTTCCTTCATCCGCCCCCTCATCCATCTTTCCGCCTTCTCCGCCCTTCCTCCTCCCTCCCAGTATTTGCAAGTCCTCCCTACTCCCTCGCGCCCCCTTCCTTCATCCGCCCCCTCATCCATCGTTCCGCCTTCTCCGCCCTTCCTCCTCCTCCCTCTATTCGTGTCTTGACACCCGCCTGCGTCCCCCGGGCGCGACCGCAGGCGGCGAGGGAGTCCTTTCGGGGCCACGAGCAGGTCCTGAAAGAAGAGGCTTGGGCGCGGCGAACAACGAGGGTGAAACGAGGAATGGCGCAAGAGAGAGAGAGAGAGAGAGATAGAGAGAGAGATAGAGAGAGAGAGATTGAGAGCGCGATAGAAAGGGTGAGGCATATGGCGAGGCGGGGGACACGAGGGGAGGGGGACGGGAACGAGGAAGGGAGCTGCAGGGGGAGGAGGGGTAGCGGGACGGGGGCAGGGGTGGAGCAAGGGAGCCAGGTGCGAAGAGCGCGTCGGCGAGCGTGAGGGGTCGCTGGACCGCAGCGGAGCGCTTTTTGGTAGCCCGGGGCACGCAGGGCGATCCGGAGCTGGAGGCCAGGGGTGCAACAGGGAGGAGTTGTTTATATAGGCCCTCCTCCTCCTCCTACTCCTACTACTACTACTACTACTACTACTACTACTACTACTACTACTACTACTACTACTACTACTACTACTACTACTACTACTATTACTACTACTACTACTACTACTACTACTACTACTACTACTACTACTACTACTACTACTACTACTACTACTACTACTACTACTACTACTACTACTACTACTACTACTACTACTACTACTACTACTACTACTACTACTACTACTACTACTACTACTACTACTACTACTACTACTACTACTACTACTACTACTACTACTACTACTACTACTACTACTAACTACTACTACTACTACTACTCTCCTCCCTCCTCCTCCTCTCCTCCTCCTCCTCCTTCCCTCCTCCTCCTCTCCTCCTCCTCCTCCTCTACCTCCTCCCCCTCCTCCCCCTCCTCCTCCCCCCCCCCCCCCCCTCCTCATCCTCCTCCTCCTCCTCCTCCTCCTCCTCTCCTCCTCCTCCTCCTCCTCCTCCTCCTCCTCCTCCTCCTCCTCCTCCCCCTCCTCCTCCTCCTCCTCCTCCTCCTCCTCCTCCTCCTCCTCCTCCTCCAACCCAGCCAGAGCTTTTCCGTACTTTTACGAGGTGGGCCTCGCTCGATTTCACGATCATCGCTCGAGGACGTCGTCGAGACAATACGCGGAGGCGATCGAGATCGACGGTGTTGCGAGCGATGTGGGATTGACGATTTTCGCCGACGACATTACGAAGATAGTAATTCCTGGATGTGGACCTGAGCCACACGCCAACGGGAACGAGGCGGCGCCCCTAGCGGCGCTGGCGGAGTCGAGCAGTTTCCACCTCCGGGAGGCCCTCTTGGAGATCGGCATCTCTTTGAACCCCGAGAAGAGGGTCACGCTTGCTAGGATCTTCGGTCGAGGCTGTACAGGTCAACGCAGACTGTGGCACAGCGGAGCTCTAAAAACGTCAGGCATTCGGGGCCGTCACATCAGAGTCCTGGGAGGCTGGCTCCCTTCGACGGGGTCCCTGGCCGTGGAAAAAACGAAGCGCGTCCAAGCTGGGAAAAACGGTCTGGGGCTCATCTCTTGCTTCTTGGTCAAGCCCGCCGCTCGTGCCATCAAGAGGATGGCGATCATCTCGTTCGTTCAGGCTGCTCGCCTCTCGGGCATGGAGGCGCGCGTCCCTGACGCCTCCTATTGCGAGCAGGCGGACAGGGTGCTGCTTCTCGCCATGCGTAGGGGTCTAGGCCTCCAGGGGACCACCAAGGGCGACGACGGGGAGATCCGCAGATGGCCATCAAAAAATGTCTGGGAGTATTGGAGCTACGGGTGCGTCGTCTTGGTTGGCTCCAGAGCTGGGCCCGCTTTCCAGAGGCACACCGTCAGGTCAGAGCTTGTATACAGGGGTCCATGGGGAGTTTCGACACGATCAATCCCGACTGGACCCTCCACCCGAAGGCCAGCCCTTGGGCACGGCAGATCCTGGAGGACCCAAGGTACGCCCACGAACATTGTGAGGACTTCTTCATGCTAGCCCCCTCGGGTTACCCCTTGCTGAAGCTGCTTTACATTGACGAATTTAGGGACTGGGCCTTCGTGGACTTCACGGTCCTGCGGGCTGAGGCCTACTCTAAGACGTTTGCCCCTCCAGAACACCTTCCTGAGGCTCCTGAGGTTCCTGAGACCGAGGAGGAGATGGCCCCTGAGGGCCAGTTCGTCTGCAACATGGTGCTCACCTCGGGCGCCAGGTGTAACAAAACGTTCAGCACCATGAAGGCGCTCCTCCTTCATGCTGGTCGGGCCCACCGCGTCCGGAATGAAGCTGCACTATTGACGGTTACCATCCAATGTTTTAGATGCCTGCAAGTCCTGAGCACAAAAGAGAACGCGGAGAGGCACGTCATGAGGTCATTCAAACGAAATATTTGCAGTCGGGGGAGGAGCTCTTTCTTGGCGCAAGATGTCCAGATCCCCAGCGAACTTCACTGTCCTGTATGTAGTAATCATGGGGCTCAAAGCCTTTATGAGCTTCAAGTACAGATTCGCTTTCATTGTTCCGCACCTCAGCCTGAAGTTAGACACAGCCGGCTGCACGTCGCAGGCAGGACGTCGACATGATGGACCTCAACGCGCTGATCGAGCTCGGCAAACGCAAAGAGGCAGGCCCCTGGTGGCGAAGGTGGAGCACGCGGACCCAAGGGGCGCAAGGTGGCAGAGGCAGCAGACGATGCCGAGGACACACTGAACCAAGTGGAGAGCGCGCTCCGCGGAAAAGACGTTGCAGCGGCGCTGTCCCTCCTCCTAAAAGGCTTCTGCATGCGCTCGCAGCTCCTTCGCGACCTGGCGGCGGTGGTCTGGGCCAGCGTGATTCTTCCGACAACCTCGCCGATTATCGAGGCTTCCAGGGCCGCAGGACAGCTTTACACAGAGGCAGCTGGGCTCCCCAGCGTGAAGGACAATCTGGGACCACCACATTTACACATTGCGCGCGCAGTTCAAATGTTTGGTGGAAGCAGGATCGAGTCTCAAGATTGGGGGAGAGGCGCTGGAGGTGACGCGCCTGTTCTACGCCCCAAGTTCATACTGAGTGGACGAATGCAGGAGCTCGGGTTATCGATCCGACACTTCCGCTGCAAGAAGTGCTACAACCCGGGCGCGACACTGCTTCAGTTCGCCATTGTGGACGGGGCCCAGCTCCAGAGCGACGGAAGCGACCCCGCGACCTACTCCAAGCTGATGATCGAAAATGCGACGGTGGTGCTGCTCAGGGGCATGGGGGGGGAACTCTCAAGCAGGGCCCGAAGCCACAGGGTCATCTGGAGAACCTAGCACAGAAGATGCTGGACAAGCACAAGCTGGGCGGCAAGGGCAAAAGGCAAGAAAACTTCATGAACCCAGACGCCTGGCAGACACGTCTGGCGGCGTTGAGAGCCCGTATCGCGGCAAAAGAGACGGCGTCTAAATCCTAAGCTCGGCTTGGGTTCTGTCGTTGCCGCGCCGCTGGATGACGGATGTTGTGTATTACCCCTCTTGTTTAACGGGATATGTTGTATTCATGCAGTTCGTGAGCTGGTTGTTCGCGGATGCCGACCGCGCCCAGCTGACCTCCACGGCAGGCCTCGGGGACCCAGATCGTAACCTCCTGCTCTGGGCCTGTTTCGCCGCGTTGGGCATGGTAATGGACTTGAGCGGCTTCGTGGGGCCCCGGCACTTTTTCTTTGAAGCCCCGCCCGCCGTGTCCGACCAGGCGGGCGTGTCCGCTTCGCCTTGCGTTTCAGCACAGTCGACCCCCTTCTCATCTCGGTTCGACGCCCTCCGAGGGCCCACCCCGACGTCTGCTTATCGGACGCCTGCGGGGCCCGAGAGTCAGGAGGCGCCGCGCGGGCTCCTCGGGGGGGGGGGGGGGGGGGGGGGGGGCGTCTGATCCGATGTGTTTGTTCTTGTTTTCCTGGGCTGGGTGGATGCCTCGGGAGCCCGCATGGCACACTCAGTGCCGCGAGGTTTCGGCCCCCTCGGGGCCAGAGGGGCGTCCCCCCCAGCCCGCGTGTGACACTGAATATTGCGAACATCCCCGATGCACATGTGTCGAGTGCTGCACGGCGCGCGTAACCCGTAACCTCGCATAGCAGATATGCGATCGTTCGAGGTTGTAGTCCTGCACGCTTATCACACCAGGTGTAGAGCTGCGTCACCCCAGCACACGCGCAAGGCCGAGTCCTATCCTATCCTATCCTATCCTACCCTACCCTATCCTATCCTATCCTCCTCCTCCTCTCCTCCC